CGTCGCTGTCGTAGTAGTAGTAGTAGTAGTAGTAGTAGTAGTAGTAGTAGTAGTAGTAGTAGTAGTAGTAGTAGTAGTAGTAGTAGTAGTAGTAGTAGTAGTAGTAGTAGTAGTAGTAGTAGTAGTAGTAGTAGTAGTAGTAGTAGTAGTAGTAGTAGTAGTAGTAGTAGTAGTAGTAGTAGTAGTAGTAGTAGTAGTAGTAGTAGTAGTAGTAGTAGTAGTAGTAGTAGTAGTAGTAGTAGTAGTAGTAGTAGTAGTAGTAGTAGTAGTAGTAACAGTAACAGAAGCAGAAGCAGTAGCAGTAGCAGTAGCAGTAGCAGTAGTTGTCGTCGTCTTCGTAGTAGTCGTAGTAGTCGTAGTAGTCGTAGTAGTAGTAGTAGTAGTAGTAGTAGTAGTAGTAGTAGTAGTAGTAGTAGTAATAGTAGTAGTAGTAGTAGTAGTAGTTAGTAGTAGTAGTAGTAGTAGTAGTAGTAGTAGTGTAGTAGTAGGAGTAGTAGTAGCAGTAGCAGTAGCAGTAGTAGTAGTAGTAGTAGTAGTAGTAGTAGTAGTAGTAGTAGTAGTAGTAGTAGTAGTAGTAGTAGTAGTAGTAGTAGTAGTAGTAGTAGTAGTAGTAGTAGTAGTAGTAGTAGTAGTAGTAGTAGTAGTAGTAGTAGTAGTAGTAGTAGTAGTAGTAGAAGAAGAAGAAGAAGAAGTACTAGTAGTAGCAAGGTCGGTCGGTAGGAAGGTCGGTCGACAGGTATGTAGGTAGGTAGGAGGGTAGGTCGACAGGTAGGTGTTGGTCGTGCTCGTGGCACTGGTAGTACCACTCCAGAACCATTCAGGGATCCTTTGGGGTCCCTTCAGGAATCTGTCAGAAATCCTTCAGGGATTCTTCAGGGATCCGTCAGGAAAAATTCAAAGATCCTTCAAGGATCCTTAAAGAACCCTCAGGAATCCTGCAGGAATCATTCAGGGGTCGCTCACAAATCCTTCAGGGATCCTTCGGGGATCCTTGAAAGATCCTTCAGGAATCCTTCGGGCATCCTTCAAGAATCGTCCAAGAATCTTTCAGGAACCCTCCGGAGATCCTCCTCCAAGCATCCTTCCGGAATCCTTCAAGAATGCTTTAGGAATCCTCCAAGAATCTTCCATCTTCCCTCAGGAATACTCAAGAGTCCTTCAAGAATCCACAGGAATCCATCAGAAATCCTCCAGAAAGCCTCAGGAGTCCGCAAGAGTCCCTCAGGAACCCTGAAGACTCATTCGGGAATGCGTAAAGAGATCTCTCAGACATCCTCAAGAATCCTCAAGGAATCCGCAATAACCCGTCAAGCCCAGGGAAGCTGAAGCATGCTTTCCTGGTCGCAATCTAATGCTCGCAGTGTAGGATTAATTATGCTTGAAATCCTACACGTTGCGATCAGTCTGTTTCCAGAGGTCGCAATCGGTCCGAAGTGGTCCCTGATCGGTCCGAAGTGGTTGTGGTCGGTCATCTGATCCTCCCTACCCCCCTCGGCACGCCACCAAGTCCTCCAAGTCTCTCATGCGCCCACGCAGCTCGGTCAGGGACTCGGCCGACTGCAGCAGGCCCCGTGCCTCCGCTGCGAGGTCGGCCTCGGCAAGGATCCCGCGGGACATCGTGCTTATCCTCTCCAGCTCGGACGCCACGTCCTCCGACGCCGTGGCGCCCTGCTGCGACGTCGTGGAGGCGGCGCGCTCGAGGGCGGTGGCGGCGAGCAGTTCGACGGTCCGAGAGAGCCACTGGAAGGCCTTCGAGAGCCGTAGCTTCTGCGTGCAGCCTGGAGGAAGAGCGCGCAGCGGAAGATCGACCGCGTGCTGTCGCTGCTTGCGCTGCTCGAGCTCCTCGGTCGCCCTCTCTGCAACGCAATGCTCCTTCTGAGCGCCGTGCATCCTGTGCGCCTGCCCGGCGTCACCGAGGGAAAGAAGTTCGAAGACCTCCGAGCGCTTCAACTTGTCCACGCATCCTGCGGGCAATGGAGTCTGCAACGCCTCCTGCCGCTGCTGGCACTGCTCGAACACCTCGCTCAACTCCTCGACTATTACGCCATTATCCCTCTGCGAGCCGTGCACGTGCACATCGAGCACCTGCGTGGTCTCGGTTGCTCCGGCATCCGAAGCTCCCCCCCGACGCTCGCCCCAGACCAGCACCCCCTCAACGCGGCGCTTCCCCGCCTTCCTCTGGCGGCGGTTCGGGGTACAGCTGGTGGGCTGGTGGTCGTGGCAGTACGCGCACTCCTGAAAGAAAAAACAGACAATTACTGATACCGCTACCTCCCGCGACTTCGAGGTGCCAAACGTGGCGACGAGGGAAGAGGTAGCGACAACGGTACCCCTTCAATTTCCGAACTTCGGGGATCTACTGACCCGGGTCAATCTGGACCCGGGTCAGTCAGGCTTTGCAGGATCTTGCAAGATTTTGCAGGATCCTGCCTGCAAGATCCTGCACCCAACCCTGGGTCAATGCAACCCTTGCTCTGCAGGATCCTGCAAGATCCGGCGCTCTGACTGATCCCCCGCTTGCATTGATCCCCCTCTCTTGAGCCCCGAGACCCCGACATTCGACGCCGTGCGTTTCTCAGGACGGCTGCCCTGGAGGCCTGGACCCCCCCCGGGGCCCAGCTTTTCCTCCCGAGCCGCATCTGTTGACGGTCTCGGGGCCCGGCGAGGCCACCCAGAGGCCGGGAGCGCGACTCTATTTTCTTCGGCGATAAAGGGCCTTGTAGGGGGGGAGGGGGGGAGGGGCCAAGGGGAGGGGTATAATGTAACGCCTCCCCCACGCCGTGCCCACGGCGGCAGTGCCCGGAGCGCACGGGGGGCGTTACGTTGTAGGCGTGGGGGGGGGAAACGGCGGCCGGGGGCTACAATGCCCACTATGCCCCAAGCCATACAGCAACACGCTCCAGAAGCTGCGAAAAACCTTCGCCTCGCGTTTCTCGAGACGTTGGCAGCCTGGGGCGCTCCTGCCCGTTCACGCACCGGCTGCCGCTCCGCTTCCAGAAGAAGTCGCACGGGTGGCACCGGCCGCCCTGGCGGCACCTCACCGAGCCGACAGAGAGCAGCTCCCGCGGCGGCGGGGCCTCGGGCAGGCCATCGGAGGCCTCCGTGCGCTGCCCGTCGGGAGCGAGCTCGCCGAGCGGCTTCGACGCGGCGAGGTGGGCGTTGCCTCTGCCTGCAGGAGGAGGAGGAGGAGGAGGAGGAGGAGGAGGAGGAGGAGGAGGAGGGGGAGGAGGAGGGGGAGGAGGAGGAGGCCGCAGCCGAAACGCCGTCGGCGCCTGCGCAAGCAAAAGAGGCGGTCTCGCTGGCCGGCAGGTCGGCATGGAGGGAGGGCTGGTCGTTCTGGTGGGACGTCGACGCCGACGACGTCCAGAATTTCTTCTGGTTCAGGGTCTCGGTAGGCCATGCTGGTGACCCTTCAGCAGCGCTCAACATTCTAAAAGGCGCACCTCTTTCGCCTGAGTCGGTGAATACCGCAGTCAGATGGGGGGTCCCTGGCGCCGCCCAGAATCACCCAATCGCGGGAAAAGGCGGCAGGAAACCAGGGGGCCCCTTAAAGGTTCGACCGCCGGTGGGCACTAGAACGACGGTAGCGAAGTTATGCTTTCCATGTGCGATCCCCTTCACTCCCCTGATCCAAAATTGCTACGGACATGAGAAGAAGTGGCAGGAACCGCAGCGGGAGAATGAGGACGGCGGCCTATCTGAGACACAGCACAAATGCCCCCCCCGAAAAAAAAACAAATTTGGGAAGACCCTGGCAAATATTGTCTTTGGTAGAATCTCCTAGGGGAAAATGGTCGGTGTCGCTGGGTCCTTCGGTGGCGCTCCCTATGGTGCACGAACCGTGAGGGCTACCGTGTTCAAGATCATCGAGGCTTTAAAAGGGGACCACGCGCCTTGAATCACCGGCCTCTGACACAATCTTCACGGCAACCAAGTTGCAACAGCACCAGGTGTCAACGATAAACCTCGTCGACCCTCGTCTCACCAGGCCTTGAACCCAGGAGTCGCAGCTTCCTCCCATTCAGCCTAGAGGTAAGCTCGAACTCCGACGTTTACACAAAGCTGTTTGGGCAGCGGTGCGATTTCTCCGCTCCTGCCGCTCCATGCTGGAGGAAAAAACGATGACCCTCTCTACCATCTCTGCTACCATCTCTGGGGCTGGACGATGTCTGTATTCATCAGGGCCCACATCCGCACCCTGGGTCTCTGCAATCAAGTCAAAGTGGGGGTTCCCGAACGGTCATTCACTGTCCCTGGGTGCGTGGCTGAAGTGGGGATCCACGGCGAAGGTTCTTGTTGTTGTTTTGTTGTTGTTTTGTTGCGTTGTCCCACCCCCCGCTCCGCGACCCACCCGCGACCCACCCGCGACCCCCCCCGCGACCCACCCGCGCGACCCACCCGCGACCCACCCACGACCCACCCCGCGACCCACCCGCGACCCACCCGCGACCCACCTGCGACCCACCCCGCGATCCACCCGAGACCCACCCGCGACCCACCCCGCGCCCGCCCCCTCACTCTTATCCGCAATTGCGGGGTGCTACGTATTTGAAAGATACGCTTTCTTTCCGAAACAGAACTCGCCTCATTGACTTCGACGTGTCGCATTGCGGCTCATGATGGGATGGCCTGGACGCAGGGCGCCAGGACCTCTATCCATCGTGATTTGGGCCGGAAACCGGTCTCTCGTCAGGTGAGTGGCACCCCCCGACGACCGAACATGGTCCTTGTTCTCCAATCTGAGCCCAGGGCATCCCTCCTCATGGACATTGTAGACGGATGGTTCCTTCACGGCGTCGCGCAACACGGCTGTTATGTTCGGTTAAGCAGGTGCACTGACGTATGGCTGCAACGCGCGCCGCGGATGACGAGCGCACTGTTTTTACCCTGCCCGAGCGCGGACGCGCCCGACCCTCACAAGCCACGGGAGCCAAACACTCCTTCCTTCGCGATACGGCAGAGGCAGTCCCACGAGCGTCCGAGCCATCTGGGCTACGGCACTGCGACCTGTCCCGCATGCCAAAGGGGAAGGGGAAGACGAGAGTTGGCCGCAGAGGCAAGAAGGGGCACGGGAGCCAAACACGCGGAACGCGCGCGTAGGCTCCCCAGACCCCCGACGTCACGATGTTTTTGGCGTCGACCTCCAAAGGTCTCGACCCCTTCCCCGGGACCGGTTTCTCGTCCTCAGTCGTTTGTTGCCAGTCCCGAGGCCCGGTAAAGGCTCCCAGAAGCCGAAAACGGCGAAAAACCGTCCGTTGTGATTTTCGAAAGAACGTGCTCTGCCGCTGCTGGCAGAAAAACGGGAAGGGGTCACTGGGGGGTTCCAACCCGTTCCCCCCCCCTCCCCTCGAAAACCCAGAACCCGGAAGGGTCACTGGGGGCTCCAAACCACCACCCCCGGTCCATCATGAAAAGAGGGGGGTACTACGGGTTCGACCCCCCCCCTCCTCCTCGCCGCCGGCAACCGACCCCTTCTCCTCCTCCACTCTGGATGGGGAATTGTGGTGGAGACAATGATTGCGACGGTGGTGGGGATGGTGGTGGGGAGTGGGGACAGCGGGACAGTGGTGGGGACAGTGCAAAAAGTGGGACCGTGGTGAGGGCACTGGTGGGGACAGTGGGGACCATGGTGGGAAGAGTGGGGGCAGTGGGACCGTGGTAGGGACAGTGGAGACATTGGGACAGTGGTGGGGACGGTGGTGGTGGGGACAGTGGCGAGGGGACAGTGAGACAGGTGGTGGGGACAGTGGTGAGGGCGGTGGTGAGGACGGCGGTGGGACAATGGGACAGTGGTGCAGTGGGGAGAGTGGTAGGGACAGTGGGGACAGTGGCGGGGACAGTGGGGACAGTGCGACAGCACAGAGGGACACTGGGACAGCGGTGGGGACAGTGGGACAGTGGTGGGAACAGCGGGGACAGCGGTGGGGACAGTGGGGACAATGAGGAGAGTGGGACCGTGGTGGGGACAGTGGTGGGGACAGTGCGACAGTGGTGGGGGCAATGGTGGGGACAGTGGGGACAGTGGTGGGAGACACTGGGGACAGTGGGACAGTGGTGGGAACAGCGGGGACAGTGGTGGGGACAGTGGTGGTGGGGATAGTGGCGAAGGGACAGTGGGACAGTGGTGGGGACGGTGGTGGTGGGGACAGTGGTGAGGGCGGTGGTGAGGACTCGTTTGCCGGCGGGCGGCGAAGGGGGGGATTCGAACCGGTAGTGACCCCCCGCGGTTTTCCGGAGGGGGGGGAGGGGAGGGTTGGGGGGGGTGGAGGGGATGCCGGGGGAGGGGGTTCGAGGAAAGGGGGGAATTTCGGAGGGGGGGGGGACCCCCGGGTTCCGGAGAGGAGGGGGGGCGGATGGCTCACGCTCTCTCTCTCTCTCTCCCTCTCTCTCATTTTCTCGTGACTCGAGGGGGCCTGGGTCACACACATCCTTGGCGCAGACGGAGCAGAGGCCACGACATCGCCCCCGCGCTGCCGTCCGCCCGGCGGTGGCCCAAGACTCCAGGCGAGGTCTGGGACCCGACGGGCCCCCAGCGCCGCCCTCCGCGCGCGGCTCCTGGTCAGCGCCGCCCTCCTCGGCGGCGGGCACCGCCTCCGCTGGGCGGCATCGTCACTGTCGCGGTCGTCGTCGTCGTCGTCGTCGTCGTCGTCGTCGTCGTCGTCGTCGTCGTCGTCGTCGCCGTCGCCGTCGCCGTCGCCGTCGCCGTCGCCGTCGCCGTCGCCGTCGTCGTCGTCGTCGTCGTCGTCGTCGTCGTCGTCGTCGTCGTCGTCGCTCTCATCCTCCTCCTCCCCCTGCTCTTCCTGCTCCTCCTCCTCCTTCTGCCTCTCCGCCTGCTCCCGCTCCCTCTCGACCTCCTCCGTCTACACTTCCTCCTCAGACTCCTCATCCTCGTCCCCCACCCTCCATCCTCTCTTCTTTTCCCTCCTCCTCCCCCCTCCTCTTCCTCCTCCTCCTCCTCCTCCTCCTCCTCCTCCTCCTTCTCCCGCCACAAAAAACTAGCCATGCTTGATCAGTTTCTCCAAACGCCCGAAAGGCCACGGATATCCTCATGCTCCTCCTGGTGCTGCGCCTCCTCCTCCCCGTCCGTCCCCTCTCCCACCACTACATCGTCCCCCTCTCCCGAACTCCTCTTCCTCCTCGCTGTTCCCCTCCTCCTCCTCCTCCTTCTCCTCCTCCTCCTCCTCCTCCTCCTCCTCCTCCTCCTCCTCCCAAACCTCTCCCCCGCCTCCCTCCGTCCCTCCCTGCCCCTCCTCCACAGGGCAGGGCAAGGTGCAAGAGTCAGTCGGCCTCCCTCTTCCCCCTTCCTCCCCCTCGTCCCCGTCCTCCTCCCTTCCTCTCCTCCCCGAGATGGAGGTCGGGGTATCCATGTCTCCTCCGCCTCCTCCGCCTCCTCATCCTCCTCGTCCGCCTTCTCCTCCTCCTCCTCCTCCTCCTCCTCCTCCCTCCTCCTCCTCTTCCATTTCCTCCTCCTCTTCCTCCTCCTCCTCCTGCTGCTCCTCCTCCGCCTCCTCCTGCTCCTCCTCCGCCTCCGCCTCCTGCTCCTCCGCCGCCTCCTCTCTTTCCTCCTGCTCCAGCACTCCAGGGGGACGCCATCTTCACACCCGCACCGATCCTGCCCAGGTCGATCTTGGGTCCACAATTGGCGTATGCGCCCGCCTGCCGTGGCCACGAAGGCAGACCAAACCAGCCCTGGGCCAAATCTTTGCCTGGACAAGAACAATCGATGTTGGTACATCATCGGCGCCTTCAGACGCTCCGTTTTCTGTCAACCTCCTGGAGTGTGGCCACCAGCAGGCTCCTGCCCTTCGAGGCGGGAGGAGAGTGCCGCACACTCCTGCCTCCCCTTCGCCCTCCCCCTCTCGTCTCTCCCTCCTGGTCCTCCTCTTCCGTAGTCCCGCCCCTCTCGCCCGCGCGCTCTTGGGGTGACAGGGACGTGCCCATACCGCTACTCTCAGGATCTCTTCAGGGGTGCGTTCTGACCAGAACCTCGAGGCGAATCCGGCCGAGGCGATACAAGGAGGGTTGCGGTATCGGTATCGCTTCCTCCCCCGAGAGACGCCTCTTCTGCCCACCCCGCTCGCATGCGCACGTGCAGCTCCACGACCGCAGAACCCTTTCCTGGCTTTCCTGCCTCTTCCCGCCCTTTCCTGCCTCTTCTGACCCCTCCCGCTCCGCGCCTCTCGGGGATCCCTCCGCAACATCGCCACACGTGTGCGCCGGCCCAAGGAGCTGCCAACAGCGAGGCTCGTCGAATAGCGTCCCGAGCCAGATCAACCCTAGAGCGGTCGAGCTGTCCCCCGCCTCTGGTCATACGACGGCGGCTGTGGCAATTACCAGGACCGTGATCGTAACGTCTCTTAGCACCCTTCATCACCATTTTTGCCACCCGGTCAAATACGGCAGCACCGACACGGCGTGTTCCCAAGATCTGGCCCCGCAGGCGAAGCAACATGCACGCCGATGGGAGAGCCGCGCGACGGATGCCAGACGCACTTCCCGTGTGGCTGCTGGAGCAGCTGCTGCTCTCGCTCCTCCTCTTGCCCCTCCTCATGAGTATCGTTTATCCGATCCCCATCCCCAGCGGCGTGGCCTGGGCCCCACTGGCCGACTTACCCCCCTAGATGGGGATGTAGGCCGTACCCCGGGTTTCGAGGGGCGTATCCCCAACTGGGGTGGTAATTCGGTGGGGGCCTCGAAGGGGATGAGGATGGGGATGGGGGTCGGATAAACGATACTGACCTTATCCGCATCCACGCTCTCCATGTGCTCGCCCTCCGATGCGTACGTTCCTGGCGTGGCTTGCAGCCTGGAGGGATCCGAACGTCCACGTAGATTGGGGCATGGCCTTCGCTCGTCCCGCATAGCTGTCGAATAGGCTGGCTGCCTGCACGGGCCTGGTCGTCGTGTGCTGAGGGTCCCCGCCTCCCCCGGGTGCTGGGTGCTCGACCCCAGCGTGGCATGGATAGACTTCGCTTGCTGGCTTTGCATCTCTGGTACGGGTTCACCTTAGCTTTGTTGGGCTTCGACTAAGCACGATCCAGGTGAAAGTTAACAGCACCTTGACTTGATCCGTACCATACCCCCCCCCACCACATGCAGATAGGAGTGAGGGTTTGCACTGGTCTCGGCGCGACGCGCTGTGAACCGAACAAAGAAGCCCGCCGCAGGTGCCACTTTTTCCAACTTTGAGCATACATGTCTGAGCAGCCAAGACCGGCGCCACCAATGGGTCCCCCCACGACGCCGAGGGCCCCCCCCGACGGGGTACTGAAACAATATTAACAAAACGCTCACTCAATAACGAAGCCCGCCGCAGGCGCCGTTTTTGTACGTTCAGCGTTGCTGCATCTCTGCGCAACCAAGACCGGCGCCGCCCGTGGGCCCCGCGGCGGCGGGCTCCCACGACGCCGCGGGCCATCCCGGCGAGAAACTGGAAAAAGTTGAACGGACCATTCAACGAAGAAGCCCGCCGCAAGCGCCGATTCTTTAGTTTCCCACGCTGCATGCCCGCGAAGCCAATCCCAACGCCGCGTGGGCGCCGCGGCGACGGGCCCCCACGACGCCGCGGGCCCCCCGCGAGGGGGCCCTCGGGCCCCCTCCCCCGGGCCGCCACACGACCAGCAACCCCGCGGCGCCGGGACCCCACGACGCCGCGGGCCCCCCGCGAGGGGTGCCCCCACCACCCCCTGGGGCCCCCACGCGTGCGCGCGGGCCCCCCCGGGCCCCGCCGGGTTTTCGCCCAGGGCCGGAAAGAACCCAAAGAAGATGATGATGCTGCTGCTGCTGCTGATGTTGTTGTTGTTGTTGTTGCTGCTGCTGCTGCTGTTGTTGTTGTTGTTGTTGATGATGATGATGATGATGATGATGATGATGATGATGGATGATGATGATGATGATGATGATGATGATGGTGATGATGATGATGATGATGATGATGCTGGATGTGATGATGATATGGCGATGAGAATAAGCGCGAAGACGTTTGCCCCGAAGTAGCCAACGCGCGCACGACTTGAAATATATTCGCATGAACGGGAACCCCTCACTCCGATCAAAACCTAATACCACGAAACTGTCACTGTATGTGTCCGCCTACGTGTGCCTTAGCGTTGACCATGTGCGCTTTGCATGTGCATGCTCGTTTGCATGCGCCGTTGCACGATTGTGGCTGTTCGGGTTTCTCAACAACTAATTGTGCTTTCATGTAAGCGTATCCTTCTGGCCGCCAGCTGCTTCCGACGCGTTGCATGCGTGCACCCTGGCAATACTGCTCCCCAATTTACCGCCAGCCTTTTCCCACTCGCCGGCTCGGCCGCTGCGGTGCTGCGTGAGGCTCTGGCCCACCGCTTTAGGTTAATTCGTCTTTGCGCGCCCCGCTCTGACTGGACTCGCCGCTAGCGCGCTCGCCTGCGGCCGCTGACTAAAAAAAGTAAGCGTATCCGTACGTGTGATTGTACCTTGAAAGGCGTTCGATCGCTACAAATACAATCGCTGGGACATCCAACAAAACCAACCGAGATAAACAAACCCACGCGAAACCGACCTGTCAAAATCATAACCCTAGACCCAGCATCACCCATAAACGTTCGTTGGTTTCCCGTGCAAGTCGATCCGTGAGATTTTTAAGGCCTGGGAGCAGGGGAGCAAAAAACAATTCGCGCTTTTGGTCCACGGTTCCCCAAAAGCAACAGCTTACGGCATTGTCATGCCGTGACGGCGTCGGTGCTGGTTTCTGACACCAAACTGGCCATCGCTCGGACGTCCATTCCCTGTGCTTTTTTCGGTTTCGTGCGTGGTTGCTTCGCCAAATCATCCAGGATGCTCCTCGATGGTCCTCGCCGAGACAAAATGCACACGTCCGAGCGATGCCAAGCAACATAATCCCAAGGCACCTCCGGGGGTCTGTCCCGGCCAGTCGTTCAAGCGGCGTCCAGCCGCGGCGGTCAGGGGCGCATCAAAGACCGAGAGACGAAGAACGATCGGTGGGAAACGCGACGAGGGGCCACGCTGGCAGCGGACCAGCTCAGGAAGGGAGGCGTCGACCTGGAATCGGCGATACATCGATGACAGATCGGCGTCAGGCCCCCGATGGCAACCCCGCACGTCGGGGTGGGAGGAGGAGGAGGAGGAGGAGGAGGAGGAGGAGGAGGAGAAGGAGGAGAAGGAGTAGGAGGAGGAGGATCGGGCCCCAATCGGCGATGGATGGGCGATCGGGTGTCGACGCGGTCCCTGGAGAGCCCATCCCCCCTCGCTCTGCTTTTGCAGAGGCTTTGCTCAGACTTGAGCACCCGCGCCCGCGTCGCCGCCGTCCCGAGGTGGCGCGAGCCCGCTCGACACTCGCCCCGTGGGGAGTGCGGCGGCAGCGCCTGCGACGGCGCGACCGGCGCGGCCGCGGGGGCCGCGGCCTTCAGGTCCGCGGCCTTGACGGCCTGGGGCTTCCAAGGCCGTTGTCGCGCCACCGACGTCCGCCGACGTCGCAGTTGTCGCCGCCGTCATCGTCGTCGTCAGCTTCGTCGTCGGCCGAGGAGGAGGAGGAGGAGGAGGAGGAGGAGGAGGAGGAGGAGGAGAAGGAATAGGAGGAGACCGAGCAGGACGTGGCCCTTTACGAGGGCGCGGATGAGGGGGTGAGGGTAGGAACAGGAGGGGGAGGCAACAAAAGGGAGAGCAAGATGATGGGAGGAAAGAGCACGACGACAACAACAGGAGGATGAGAAGGATGGCGGGGATATGGGAAATGAGAGGGAACTACTTCAAGTAATAACGAAGAAAGGAGGAGAAGGACAGGGGATGATGATGGGGAAGACGGGAGGGGGGGAGGGACAGGGAGGACAAAGAGCACGTCGAGGAGGAGACGGAGGACGACGAAGAGAAGCAGGAAGACGAAAGGAATGACGGCGGGGACGAGGACGAGGAGGATGAGAACAGTTTCCTTCCCCCCACGCAGCTGCCGCCGTCGCCGAGGAGGCAGCCGCTGCCACTCCTCCTCCTCCTCCTCCTCCTCCTCCTCCTCCTCCCCCCCCTCCTCCTCCTCCTCGCCCTCCTCCTCCTCCTCGCCCTCCTACTCCAACTTACTCCTCATCTTCCCCCCCCCCTCCCCTCCTCCTCCTCCTCCTCCTCGCCCTCCTCCTCCAATTTACTCCCTCCTCCTCGCCTCCCTCCTCCCCCCCCCCTCCCCCCCGCCCCCGCCCGCATCCCACGCCTCGCCGGGCCGTGGAGGCATCGGCCCCTGCAGGCCGAGGCGGCCACGCGAGGCTGGCGTCTCGACCGCGCCGCCCACCTCGGCGTGCCCGAGAGCGTACAGCGGGTCCTACAGTCAACCCGTATAGGAAGGATGCGCGGCAAGGATGCGAGGGCCTTGGACGCCCAGTTCGAAGCTTTTCGAGCAGGGCGCGGCCAAAGGAAGTGGTCGAGGATGGACCGAGGAAGCACGGATGCAAGGGTGCCCTTGGGAAGGTTGCCCGTCCTTCCCATGCGGGTTGACTGGAGGACAGAAGAACATCTTCCAAGAACATGAGATCCTCCGCCGGCCAGACTGAAGAACAGTCGAGGGCACCCTCCCCCAGGATGCACAAGAACATCCCAAAAGCACGATGAACATCAGGGTACCCTCCCCGAGCCGACCTCGATCTTATACCGTGGTCCGACCCCAGAAGGGGTGGTGGTGGCACGGTGCGGGATGGGCCGAAGGCCATTCGATACGGGTGAATTGCCTTTCCATTTTAATTGGAACCTCAATTCGGTACACCTCTCACGCACTTCGTTGACGTTGGGCGCTCAGCTGGCCCCCGAGACGGCTCCTTGGAGCTTCAATTCGGCACACCCCTCACGCACGTCGTGCCTCATGGACCCCAGAAGGCATTTAGCTGGCCTCCAAGACCGCCTAATGCCCCGCGGGGCGCCAATACGCCCGCAAGAAACATTGCAACGATTGGTACCGACCCTCGTCGGGGCAGTATCCCTAACACACATACGCACACAAATACACAAACACGCACACACGCACGCACGCACGCACGCACGCACGCACAGACACACACACACACACACACACACACACACACACACACACACTGAGTGTAACATCCTGGGGGCCCGCCGTGACTCCCCGCTTTGCGGGCACAATCATTTCAGAATCTGGCCTACGCATGCGTCCAAAAGATGACGAAGAGATGCGTAATGGATGCCCGCGAGAGGCCCTCAAATCCAGGGCGCTCTGAATACTGCGCCATCGCCCCAACCGCCGGCGGGCCTCTTCGCTGGAGAACCACTTCGCCAGCGGACTGCTCCGCGACAGGAACCCTTCATTGTCGAGGGCGGGCAGCAGTCGGACCCTAAGGGGCGGACCGGGCAAGCAGACCCTAAAGTTACGTAGGTCGGGCATGTCCCTGACTTTTTCCAACAGTTCCTCCTGAAGAGGGACAGGCCCGACTTCACCCGAAAGGTCGAGCTGGGCGGAGACGGGAAGCCATGAAGCGAACGGTCGGGGATCCCAGACGTCCTCCGAAGTGGTTTGCTTTTCACTCCGCGGCCCGACGAGGTCCCCCGACTCCTTCCCTGGGGGCGGCTTCGCACCCCGGATCCGTGTCTGCTGGTCTGGGGCCCGAGAACGGCCCCCCCGGAGGCCGAACACTAGGTCGGGGCGTGTCCTCCTGCAGTCGGATTCTGCACGACAGATAACGAAGAGTCAAACAAATACCCCCCAAATGCCACAAAATAGTCCAAACATCGTCCCCAGAGTACGTTTTACTATATGACTCCTGTAGGGGGACACGCCCGCCGCACACGAGGGAACTCGCCCGAACTGACCAAAAACAGCTCGTCTTTGGGTGACCCAAAAGGGGGTCCAGCTGAAAGAGGGTGGTGCAATAGATTTGGGGCACTTGCATTTCAAATGTATTGCGCCAGAGAACTGTATGGCATCGTACTGCATTGTGTTTGTGGTGCGCGCGAAAATGCAGCAATACATTTGCGCCCCGGAATGTGTTGCGCGCCCCAAATGAATTGCAACCCCTGGACCCCCTTCTGGGTCAACCCGAGGGACGTCCGCGCAGGCGCGCGCCACCCGCGGGCTGAGGGGTGCCGGGAAGAATGGCCAGCCGCGCTCCCGGGCTCAGGCTCCGGCTCGAGAGGGGTACAGGTGGCGGCCGGGAGCTGGGCGCCGGCAACAGGGGGGCGGGAGGGCGACGATCGGGAGCCGACGTCGGCGTCCTGCGCTGTCTGGCGAGCAGGCCAGCGCGCAGGGCGAGCGGGCCCGCACGGGCGGGCTGGGCGGGCGGGCCCCGACGGGCGGCGCGAGGGGGCGGAGCGAGCCAGTCGGGGATGGACAGAACCCCCTTTCAGTAAAAGGTGGTTTAGCGAAGACGACCTCTGGAGGCCGCCTGGATGGGGTCGGAGTAATTAGGTGGTGTCGGAGGATCGCGCCGCATCGCCAATACGTCGGCGATGCATCGCCGATGCATCGGCGACGTCGGCGATGCATCGGCGCCGTCGGCGAGGAGAACATCGGGCTCCACATCGAGCCGCATCGGCGATGCATCGGCGATGCGGCGCGATCCTCCGACCCCATCTGCCTTGACGCCATCTAAAAGGCCTAGACTAGTGAACACGACCTCGGGCCCAGACCTGGCGGGCGAAAGCCTAGAAAATGACGGCCGCGGCGCCCTCTCGAGAACCGAGAACGGACAAATCACTGATCGACTCGTCAGGGGGGGTATTCTGTCCACCCCCAAGCGAGGGCGAAGCGGAGCGGGGCGGGCCGGTGCGCGGGCGAAGAGGCTCTGCGTCTCCGCGGCTACCTGTAAGTCGGGCGTGTCCCTCTACAGGAGGAATATTCAAAAATAGTAGAAACATAATCTGGGATGTTTTTGTTTCGATGTTGTTCCCCACATGTATCGTGGGGTTATGGTTTTCTTCTCTGCCGCGTCGCACCCGCGTCTTCCACCCGCCTCCCTCTCCTTCTCCCTCTCCTCACGCACACACACAAACACACAACACACACACACACGATGTATGCGTCCATACTGGGCACACACGCACACACACACACACGTGAGGCACACGTCCCGATACGGCCGCACACATGGGCCATGGCACAGGGCATAGCAGGCGTGGCGCTTTCTCGACACCGTAGGGGGTGCGCAGGGGGGGGTGCCCGAGCGCGGCGTCTATGCGGGCCATGGCGCAGGGCATAGCACGCGTTGTACTTTCTCGACACCATACGGGGTGCGCAGGGGGTGGTGCCCGAGCGCGGCGTCTGTGCGGGCCATGGCGCAGGGCATAGCAGGCGTGGCGCTTTCTCGACACCGTAGGGGGTGCGCAGGGGGTGGTCCCCAAGCGCGGCGTCTACGCGGGCCATGGCGCAGGGCATAGCAGGCGTGGTACTTCCTCGACACCAGAATGGGTGCGCAAGGGGGGGTCCCCGAGTGCGGCGTCTGTGCCGGCCATGGCGCAGGGCATAGCAGGCGTGGCGCTTTCTCTGCACCATAGGGGGTGCGCACGGGGTGGTGCCCGAGCGCGGCGTCTATGCGGGCCATGGCGCAGGGCCTGGCAGGCGTGGCACTTTCTCGACACCATAGGGGGTGCGCAGGGAACGGCCTCCGAGCGCGGCGTGTGGCACTTTCTCGACACCATAGGGGGTGCGCAGGGGGTGGTCCCCGAGCGCGGCGTCTATGCGGGCCATGGCTCAGGGCATAGCAGGCGTGGCACTCTCCCGACTCATAGGGGGTGCGCAGGGGGTGGTCCCCGAGCGCGGCGTCTATGCGGGCCATGACGCAGGGCATAGCAGGCGTGGCACTTTCTCGACACCATAGGGGGTGCGCAGGGGGTGGTGCCCGAGCGCGGCGTCTATGCGGGCCAAGGCTCAGGGCATAGCAGGCGTTGTACTTTCTCGACACCATAGGGGGTGCGCAGGGAACGGCCACCAACATCATTCTCACATGCTTCACTTCAGCTACCATCACTTCAGCAATGATATAAGTATGTGGAGTTCCTCGGTAGTGCATTTTTTATAGATTGGTTGCCAATGTATGTGTATTCGTTTTTGAATATGTATCGAGTATTCTGCATTTGTCCTCCATAATCTACCTGTAGGGGGACATGCTGGACCTCAGGCTACCACCGGGGACAGCTTGCGAGCACAGCCGAAGCATGTTCAGAAGAACTGGGTCAAGAGAATGAGCCCCTTCGCTGAGCTCAGAAAAGACGGGACATCGTGGACATTTTGGGAGACTTGTAACGTATCATTATCATGGACCTCGTGCCCCTCTGGATCTTCATCTCGCCCAGGCCACCCACGTCATCAGTGTGGCCCGAAGCTTCCTAAATTAGAGGAAGAACAGGCGGCATTAACACACTTTCTCTGAGTCGGCGCGGATTACTTGGAACGGCGTTGGGACCCCTTCCATGACGCGCGGAGCGCGCCAGGGGGCGGAGGCGCCGCCCAGGGGGGCCCAGCGCCGATCCAAGAGATCTGCGCGAACCTCCGAGAACTTCTGCTCATGCCGCTGTTCTTCCCCGAGGGAATGGAATCGGAGGATCGGCGACGTCTACGATGCATAGGCTCCGTCGGCGTGGAGAGAATCGGGCTCCGCACCGAGCCGCATCGCCGATGGCATCGGCGACCCAGCGCGATCCTCCGACCCCATCTGCTTGGACCCTCTTTGGGAGGCCCGGATTCCTGGCGCAGTCGAAGCTGGCAGTCGGAATGCCCCAAGGGGGTTCCGCAGGGCCTCGGGAGGCCGTGCGGACACGGCTCGAGCGGGGCGCGGCCCACGGGAGAGGCCAAGGAAGGGCCGAAGGGAAAAGATGCAGGGGATGCCTTTGAACGTCGCTCCTCCTTTCGGCGGCGAGCCCCGGGGGGGAAGTGAGAGGTGGCGGGCCTTCTCAGAAGGCTCGGAAGTCCCCTGACCTTCTGAGAAGCTTCTCCCCGAGGAGGAGGAGGAGGAGGAGGAGGAGGAGGAGGAGGAGGAGGAGGCGGCAAGCTTTCCGCCGATCCTTCCTGTCAGTGCTGGTTGCAAGCCGTGCCTTTCCTCTCGCGCCCTCTGCGCGCAGGCGGGGCGGCGGCGGCGTGTGCCTGCGCCGGGGCGCTCGCCGCGGCCCTGGCCTCCAACTCCTCGGCGGCCTGCGCGGGGCTCGCTGCGAGGAAGGGCTGGCCGCTCTGCGCGGGCCTCCAGCGCAAAGGGCCAGTCGTGGGCGCGCAAGCCTGGATTAGCGACCCACGGAGTTGGCGCGCGGTCGCCAAATCCTCCTCCTCCTCCTCCTCCTCCTCCTCCTCCTCCTCCTCCCTCCTCCTCCTCCTCCTCCTCCTCCTCCCTCGTCCCTCGTCCCTCGTCCCTCCTCCCTCTGGGGGGCGCGCAAGCATGATTAGCGATCCATGGATTTGGCGCGCGGTCGCCAAATCCATGGATCGGGGGAGGTGCCCTCCCCAGAATGCGGCCGGTGCCGCCTCGCTCGGCGGCGGAAATCCGCGATTTCCCATGGAAGCGGGACCCGACGCCGGGCCACGCCCCCTTGAGCCACGACTGCGATCGCCTGAAAACAGGGAGGCAACGTGTCATCGAGGAGAGGCTCTGAAGAGGGGAAGCAGACTCGGGGGCAGATGTCGTCGCCATCTGGCGCGAGGCGCAGGCCAGAAGAGGCGCACTCTGCCAGCGGACGCTGTCGCGCTGGCAGCGCCAGCCCACGCGTGCGGCGCACGACCGGGTCCTCCGCGGCGCTCGGGCCCCCGGCGGCCCCGGAGTCTCTTTTCGCAGCGCCCCCGGGCCTCATCGGGCCCGAGAGCGGGCCCCGGGGCCGCCGGGGAACTGCCGAGGATGAAGAGCTGGTTAGGAGTTGAAGGCCCCTGGGTCTGGGCGCCGCTTCTAGATGCTAGGTTGAAGTGGGGCTGGTCCCTCTACAGACGGAATCTTCCCAAATAGTCCGAACAAAAGCTATGGGCACGATTTTTGGACCAGTGGCCTCAGTTTTGCATTTTTCCTCCAAGATGCGCCTGTATAGGGGGACGCGCCCGACCTGATTCTGGGTGCCTCCTGGATGGGGTCCGAGCAGGTGGGGTCGGAGCATCGCGCCGCCTCGCCGGTCCATCGCGGCTGTATCGCGGCTGTACCGACGAGGCATCGGCGACGCATCGGCGGTGCGTCGGCGAGGCCGACGTGGAGAGAAAGTCGGGCTCCACATGGAGCCGCGTCGCCGACGCATCGGCGGTGCGGCGCGACTATCTGGCCCAATGAACTCGTCACTGCACCGACCTTGCAGACGTGCTGCAGCCGATTGTTGCGTGGATTTCTGTCAATGCAAAACCCAGAAAAACGCGAGTGAAAAAAACGAGCATAATTTCGCGTGTTTTTTGTCTTCATTCCTGGCCAAATAAAATCCGCACGAAATCCACCTCGAAACTCTCCAGGACACTCCCGGCCCATCCTATCGGTTTCCGAACGAAATCCGCTCTGCGATGTTGGCGACATGACACTCGGACCGCATCTGGGAGACAGCCTCCCTCAGGAAGGGCGCGTCGGGCGGCGGCTGGCGTAGGCCTGCCTCGGGCCGGGGGGGGGAGGGAGGGGGAGTTGGAGGGGGGAGGGGGGTTGGAGGGGGGAGGGGGAGGAGGAGGAGGAGGAGGAGGAGGAGGAGGAGGAGGAGGAGGAGGAGGAGGAGCGAACGTAACCTTGAAGGCAGGTTCGTCCGCGCTTAGCCACGCCGCGGCGCGCCCGCACCTCCACTCAAGTCAGCAGGAAGCTGGAGGGCGCGGCGAGCGGCGGCGAAGGCCGTGTTCTGGTTGTGGTACGACATCGGGAGGGGGTAGTCCTTGGTGAGGTGGTACGCCCGCGTCGCGACGGCGAGGCGCGTGGCGGAGTTCGGGATGCCGTTCTCGCCGTCGAACGGGTGCGACAGCTCGGGGAGCGCCATGCGCGTGAGGAGGTTGGCGCTCAGCTGGCCGCGGGGCAAGCTCAGCTGGTGCCACATGCGCTCGCATGTCATGTAGTGCTGAATGTTATCCTTGGCGAGCTGGTGCGTGCACCCGAAGTGGCAGGGGCGCTTGTCCTGGATGACATGCATGCGGTAGCTGGTGGTCCATGCGCCCACGAGGGCCTTCACTGTGGCCCACATCCGTGCGGGCGGTTGCGTAGCCAGGTAGGTGCGCAGACGTTTCCAGCGAGCTGGTAGGTCGGCGGGAACCCGCTGGAGACGAAGAAGATCAGGCGGCTCATCCTCGTCATCAGGAGGGTCTTCGTCGCCAGGAGGAGGAGGAGGAGGAGGAGGAGGAGGAGGAGGAGGAGGAGGAGGAGGAGGAGGGGGAGGCCTGCCTCGGGACCGGGGGGGGGTCGCAGAAGCGGACCGCCCGCGGCACGACCTCCGTACGCTGCGGGCCAACAGGCGAAAGGTCCGAGGGCACGGGAGCCGGCGGCGCAGCAGCAGGGCAATCCCAGGGCCTAAGACTCGCAGAGGACATCCACTGCACTCCGCTCTGCGTCTTCCCCATACCGTCGTGTTCGTCCTGCCGCCCTGTCCTGCCTCCCACTTCCAAGAGCAGTGGGACCTGGAGAAACGAGTCAGACGAAAACAAACAGAGTACTAGGATGACCGTGGGGATTGCTAAGTGGACAGGGAGGGTACAAGTGGATGCCAAGGTGGGTTATACCTGGCCCAACCTGGCTAACAAGTGGGTTACAAATGCCCCGAGTGGCTTATGGGGGAGTAGATTAACTCCGCGAAGTGGGCGGAAGCCCACTTAGCCTAGATCGTTGACCCAAACAATGTTGGGCATGTGCAGCCAACTTATTGGCCAGGGTGGGCCAGAGATAACCCACCTTGGCATCCACTTGCAACCCCCCTGATCCACTTAGCAACACCCGCGGCGATTCCAATGGAGGGGGGGTGAACGAATCCGTTCACGTAGCTGATCTTTCTGGTGCCTCCCGGGGCCCGGAGGCGCCAGCACATCGAGGACAGCGCCCGGCAGCGGGGCCGAAATCAGCTGCACGCAGCAGATTTCCCAACCCTCCTTTCCCCATCCCCCTCCTTGCGTCCGACCTAAGAGAACGTCCGGTGGATGAGGAAAGCAACAATTTCAATGGAGGCTGAAACTGAACTTCGGATATTTGGTGCTTCTGGAACTTCGGATATTATACTGGAGGCCGAGACCTTCCAATAACTTCGAAACTTAAGTGGAGGCCAGAACTAACCTGTGCTGCTTCTGGTGACCCCTTCGAACCGCAGCAGCACGGCGGACCTCCTTGTCGTCGATGATGCGGGCGACTTCGCCGTTCTTCAGGCCTTCCCGCACCCGTGCGCCGAAGGCCGCTGGCTAACAGGGAGGATTCCCAGACCTGTGCCACAGGAAAACACGCACGACATACTGTTTAGTTCCCAAGATGCCCGCGTCAAGCCCCAGGGTCATAAAAGAACAACGCGACGATAAACTTGTCCCGGGTACTGGGTCAACGGCTCCGAGGGTCCACGTCCTGGGAAGCACAACGCGTCGGAGGTTTCGGGGGAGGCTGAAGCACAAATCCGACGGCCCCTCTTGACTGAGGTGGTCTAGCGCGCATTCTCGTCCAGCACCATATGTCTCACCTTCGGTAACAATCGTCAGACTGCTCTCCATTCATGTACACCCCCTCCCCCACTTCACCGACCCCCAACCCGGGCGGATGCGGACACCACCCCACGACCCCCTGCCAAACACATTACGACATTTGCTTTGCGGTTGAATCTAAACGATGTTCGGGCGACCCGCGATCACGTTGCATCGTTGTTGCAAGTTGATAGGGGGCGAATCGGCGGTGGACGAACCTCCCTTTAGTAAACCTCACTTTAGTGAAAACGGCCTGGGACCGAAACCGACCGACCTGGACCCGCAGAAATGACGACCGCGATGGCCTCTCGCGAACCGAACACGGCCAATTCGCTACTCGACCTGCCAGGGTAGGAGGTCGATCAACCTCCGAGCGAAGGGGATGCTACCAGAAAACACCCCGTGCGCAACAGCCCACCATCCGTGCCAGATCGCTGCAAGGCCCCGCGTCTCGACGAACGGATGGGGTCCACGCGCGGGCGCCCCGCGAGCGTGGTGCACAGTCACTGACGGAGATGATTTAGGGGGGCCCTGGGGCACACACACACATAAATACACACAAATGACAGAACTCCCAATATTCTTATATGGTCTGGGTTTTTTGTCGTCCCCCCCCCCCCACTTCCCACATGTCCCTATAATTTCCGAGGAGTCGACGCTTCATTGTGTCTGTGTGTTTTCCCCCCCTGAATGGTGGGGGTGCCCTGGCACGCAAGGCTTAGGTCGGGCATGTTTCCTTACAGGCGGATTTTCGACGACTAAAAATAATCACAAAATCTATTCAAAACATATCAAAGGTAACAGAAACATCGCCCGCTGACTATGTTTTGACTATTTTTTGAAAATTCCTCCTGGAGAGGGAACAACCGACTCAACGCAAGGCGCACCTCGCGAGCGTCGCGCAACTTGCTGGCGTCCCAATTCTGAGCATGGACCGACCGTCCCGGCATTCCTATAGTCCCACCACGAAATGTTTTGGAACCCAGAAATGTTCAAAGAAAAAATTATGTTCTTCGAGCATTAACCCGATGTATTAAAACAAGACAGACTCCGCCAGAAATGTTCTAAGAACATTTCGTGGGAACCACGCACGGTTCTTAGAACATTGTTTGGTGGGGCTATAGGCGAGCCGGGACGCTTCGCCACTGCTTGACATTTGGCTCCCGATGATTGTCAGTGGCGGCCCCTGCCCACACTGAGACTCGGGTGCTCCTCACGCTTCTTCCCTCCCAATCAACTCGACAGCAGAACAAAAGCACCCGATGCCCGTCCAACATCAGATCCGCTGCCCCTCATGGGGGCTATCACCGCACCCATTAAATATTGGCTTGAACTCGATAGCGGCCGTGACTTAAAGTGGCCGGCCGTCGGGTGCTTCTCATGTGTTGGGAGGGCGGGTGGCAGTGGGCGAGACGGCTTGCGGCCTGCAGATAACGTGGAGTGCCCCGCGAGGCGCTCGAGCGCCCAAGATGGCCTACTGAGGCTCCAAGACTGCCTAAGACAGCCCACGATGACCTCCGCGATGGAATGAGGATGCGCGAAATCGCTCAATCTGGTTTCCGACCTGCTCCAAGAGGCCCCAAGACCCCTCCGAGGCTACCTTGACTGGCCACGGAGCCTCCCACGGACTTCCAACAACCAACGAACACAAATGATGTTTGATCTTCCGCCCTGTTGCTTCTGACTGGCTTCTGAGGCCTCAAAATGGCTCCAGGATGGCCCAAGAACTCCCCGAGAGAAGCCCGAAGCGGGCTCCAACACGGCTCCCAATAACGCCGCAAGATGGCCCCAAGAGTCGACATCTCAGCCTCAAGACTCAAAACGAACGACGCAAATGTCGTACCCTTGTTCCTCTAGCTGAATTCATTGGATGCTACCTGGCGTAATCCTGAAACAGTAAGGCATTGCACTGTGAATGTCTAAGCTACGTGGTGCCACATACGTGGTGCAGGCCTACCGGTGTAACCTCTGTGGTGTGCGCTACGAGGCGCAACCGATGCGGCGGCAACGAAGCGGCACGGGCAGCAACCTGGCGAACCCTCGGCACACACAAACACACACACACACACACACACACACCGCACGAGGCGGCGACGAAGCGGCACGGGCGGCAACGTGGCGAACCCTCGGTACGCAAATCCAGCGCACGAGATGACGACGAGGCGGCAACGAGGCAGTACTGGAACGAACGTGGCGAATCCTCGGCATACCGCCAGAGGCGGCAACGGGCGGCAACGTGGCGAATCCCGGGCATACCCAAATAGCGCACGCAGCGGCAACGACGCGGCAACGGTGCGGCAACGGGCGACAACGTGGCGAATCCTCGGCATACCCACACCGGCAGCAACTGGCGGCAACATTGCGGGTACCGGCAGACGGCAGCGGGCGGCAACGTGGCGAATCCTTCGGTATACCCCCGCAGGCGGCAAAGGGCGGCAACATGGCGACTCCTCCGGCATACCCCCACAGGCGGCAACGGGCGGCATCGTGGCGAGTCCTCGGCATACCCACGCAGCGCACGAGGCGGCAATGACGCGGCAGCGAGGCGGCAACACGCCGCAAGGAGGCGGCAAGGTGGCGTGTCTTTGGCATACCCCCACAGGCGGCAACGCGCGGCAACGCGGCGAATCTCTGGCATACCCCATATCCCAACAAGCGACAGCGGGCGGCAACGGGCCGCAACGAGGCGCATCCTCATCAGACCCACACAGCGCACGAGGCGGTAACGACGCTCTTCGGCATACCCACACGAGCCGTAACGGAGCGAAGCCTTGGCATACCCAAGCAGCGCTCGAGGCGGCAACGAGCAGCAACGAAACGGCAACTTGGCGAATCCTCCGGCAGGCTTGCAGTCGACAACGGAAGGCAACGGGCGGCAACGGAGTGAATTCCCAGAGGCGGCAGCGGGCGGCATCTTTGCACATCCTGGGCATACACATGTATTCTTTGGCAACAGAACCAGCAACCTCTAAGTGCAAACACTGTTTGGCGCCATCCCTTGGACGTCGTTGGCCACACATGGCTCAAATATGGCTTCCGATCCTGTAAGATGGCATCCAAGCTGGCACGCTATGGTCCAAGTTGGTTCAATGCGACCTCCAAAACACTTCGGGGTCCAAAGTGGTACGCTACGGTCAAAGATGGTTCAAGTTGGTACGGCTCCAGTGAGGTTTCGAGCGGCAGCGGAGCCTCCCACAGAGGCCGCCGAGAGGCCAAAGCAGTCCAAACCGTTCGCATGCCAATCATGGTCGCACGATCGCCCGTCCGCCTCCGATGAGCCTCCCTGGCATCAAGATGACCCCATAACTGCCCAAGAGAGCTCCAATAGGGGCCCAGGAGGGCTGCAGGACAGGCCCAGAGGCGCCGTAGAGCGCCCCCAAAGCACCCCGAGAGGACCCTAAAAGACGCGTTCTGGGACGCAGGAGGTACGGGCCAATTGAGGACTGCCCCGTATTGGATCGATGTCCTCCAAGATGGGCTGGCCCCCAGTCCAGCATGGCCCCAAGAGTGGCCCAAGAGGACCCCAAGAGGGCCACAAGAGGGCCCCGAGAGGGCTCCAAAGGCCCCCGGAGTGGCAACAAGGGATCCACAAGATGTCCAAAGTAAGTTGTCGAGAGGCTCCCATCTCGAAAGGTACGATATGGCATTTACGGTTGATTCTTGGGTCTGCTCAGACCGATCCCGAGTGTGGGTTTGAAGGCTGCCACCCTTCTTCATTAACCCATTGGTCTTGCAAGTCCGGATGACAGGCAACTCGCCTGAGCATCATTTCTGGACAGGCTGGCGGGGATTGTTTGTCGCAGCCGCAGGCGAAGGCGCCGGCGGCGTCACAGGTCGGCTCGGGCTACGAGCAAAACTAATTGCCTAGCGCGCGCAGGCAACAGCAAAACCTACCGCCGGGGGAAGCTGGGCTGCGCCGAGGGCAGAGGCTAGCTGGTGGGGATACTTTCTTCCTCGCGGGCGCGAGCGGACGCGCAGGCGCCGAGTCGAAAGGTCCGGGCCACGGGCCGATCAAAATTGGCAACGCGCAAGCCGAGAAGCGCAGCGACCGAGCCCGAAATCAGAACCTACCGCCGGTGGGGCAGCTGGCTGAGGCTGAGCTGGCTGAGCTGACTGCAAACGGCCAGGGTAGCAAATGCAAACGTGCGGGTGAATTAGGTCGTGCACGCCAGGAGATGTCGTGACCTGTTCTGTATCTACAGACCAGACGTCGGCCAAGCGAGGCAGTGCCACCATACGGTCAGACCAGGGACGGCGGCCGACCAGGAACAGGGTCCGACCAGGAATGCGCGCGTGGCATTGCTAGCGGGGCTCGGCTGCGCAAAAGAACTGCCTTCGCCAAAGGATATAATTGCACAGAGCGTCGGGACATGCTGCTGGTGCTAACGAGCGGCGATGGAGTCTGCCCACACAAGCCGCTTCTAAGATTGCAGGCCTGCCGAACGCAGGGAGCAGAGAGGCGCATCTGCGGACCTCTGCAACAAGAGGCAAACAACAAGCACCGCTGTAAGCATCAAGAGTCTGTAGCTTCAAGCGGTAGGTTCTGCCGAACACTGCCCCTACACGTTGCATTGCAGAGGTTAACGAACGGCTATCAGGAGACGAATAAGAAACTGCAAAGCGACACAAGCTACACGATGATGGCTGCGGCTATGGTCGTCTGCCTCCGACTCGGCAACAGAAACGGTGATCACGACTCGGGTAGTAAACGACGCAACCAACGGCTGCAGATACATACGGCTGATGGCCGTCCCATCCTTGTGTAGAGAGAACGAGAGAGAGAGAGAAGAGAGAGAGCGAGAGAGAGAAGGAGAGCCAGGGAACGGCTGATGGCCGTAAGGGTAAGGCTGTGATAACTGGGGACTGGGGCTGCCTGGCGGCCTCAACCGCGGCTGGAGTGCGAACGACGCTGCCGCCTCCTGGAGCGGTTGGCGCGGAGCTGTCGGCTGCCTCTCCCCGCCTGTCGGGAACAGGGTTGTCCTCAGTGGCAGCATCATTGTCCATTATGTTGTCTGCCCCCGTCAGCCCGAGCACAGCATTGCTACTGCGTGCGTCCTCCTCCCCCGTTCTCGATGGCCTACCCGACTCACGGCTGATGGCCGTCTGTTCGCACGAGAGAGTGGGGATGCCAGGGAAACGGCTGATGGCCGTCTGCCCTTCTCCAATTCCAGTCTCCTCTTCTGTCCTCGACTGTCTACCCGACCCACGGCTGGGGGCAGGGTGCTCGCCTGAGGGAGTAGGAGTGCCAGCGATACGGCTGATGGCCGTCTGCTCTTCTCTAATTCCCGTTCCGTCGCCCACATCAAGAGCCAGGGAGGCAGGAGGGACGAGGAGGAGAGGAGAAGAGGGAGGAGAACGGCAGATGGCCGTCGGCTCTTGGAAGGGGTGCGGGGGCTCCCGACCACGGCTGATGTCCGTCTGCTCATCGGGTCGAGTCACGCCACCAGGGTTGTGGCTCGGGGACGCTCCTTGCTCACGGCTGATGGCCGTCAGCTCTCTTGGTAACCTGGGCACCCCCTCGAGCCCAACCTCTGGTCTAGTGACCCTGGGGGGGCCACTGACGTCAGCCTGCTCCTCAGCGCTGGACCGATGCTCCGTCTCACGGCTGATGGCCGTCTGATCGTTCGGGAGAGTGGGACTGCAAGGGATACGGTTCATGGCCGTCCGTTCTTGTTCATTTCCGGGGGGGCGCTCCAGGGCACCAATTTCAGCAGCCCCACTGGTGCCGAGAGCCCTGTCTAAGGCGACGAGCTCGCCTGCCGGCTGCTGTCTGGAGGCGGGTGCCGGCAGGAGTCTGACCCGTACGCTGATGGCAGCCCCTGTGCTGTGGGGGCGGCTCGCAGTCCATGTAACTCCTCCGCGGAATTGTGGCGCTGCTGGGACCTGGCACAGGGCAGCTGTCTGCGGGTCCATATCCTGAACGACACCCGGCTCGCTGGTACAACGGAACGGTGTACGTGTGGTCAGGATTGGATGCTGTGCGGAGTCTGCCAGGGCGGCCGAACCGCTATGTACGCAGGAACTTTCGGCTGATGGCCGTCACGTCCTTCCCAGTAGGGACAGAGAGAGAGAGAGAGAGAGATCGAGCGTCGGAGAAAGCGCGGGTCTCCTCGCCTACGGCGCCGACGAAGCCGGCACGGGTGGAAGATTGATGCGGTGCGGGCGCAGCTCAGAAAGATCACCGATGTCCACATCAGGGGAGTAAGACAAAACCAATGAATCGCCATCAGACTCATGTTGCAAATCCTCAGCCCTTCCGGGCAAAATCTGGTCCACCTCAACGTCCGCAGGCGCAGCTCCGGAGGTCGCGGCACTCTGAGTCAGGAGTGCTTCGCGAGAGAGAGAGAGAGAGAGAGAGCGAGAGAGAAGAGCCAGGGGAACGGCGGATGGCCGTATGAGCAACGCGAAGCGTCTAGAATTCGGCTGATGGCCGTCACGTCCTTCCCAGTAGGGACAGAGAGAGAGAGAGAGAGAGATCGAGCGTCGGAGAAAGCGCGGGTCTCCTCGCCTACGGCGCCGACGAAGCCGGCACGGGTGGAAGATTGATGCGGTGCGGGCGCAGCTCAGAAAGATCACCGATGTCCACATCAGGGGAGTAAGACAAAACCAATGAATCGCCATCAGACTCATGTTGCAAATCCTCAGCCCTTCCGGGCAAAATCTGGTCCACCTCAACGTCCGCAGGCGCAGCTCCGGAGGTCGCGGCACTCTGAGTCAGGAGTGCTTCGCGAGAGAGAGAGAGAGAGAGAGAGCGAGAGAGAAGAGCCAGGGGAACGGCGGATGGCCGTATGAGCAACGCGAAGCGTCTAGAATTCAATTACTGGCCTCGCCCAGATCCACCCTGGCCTTTCTTCAGCGCGCTCATGCCCTTCAGACCGCCAGCGGGCTTGGCTGGCGCCACGCTGGGCTCCTGTGAGCAAGCAGCCCGCCCCCGACAAAGGAGTACCAGAGGAGGGATACAACCGAGGACAGCCAAATACTGCACAGCAGACAGGCGACTACGACACAGCAGAACCGGACGGGTCTGGGAGGCGGAACGGATGAATCGAATTGGAGATTGCAAGCGCACGCATAAAATACAAAAGCAAACACACCACGTCCCGATCAAATGCGTTCGCCAATACTTGCACGCTCGCGGAGCTACATAATGTATAACAATTGGTACCACGATGTTCAAGCGAACTAGCATAGCGTGCATCATCTACGAAATAAGAACTCACATATACGATTTCAATCAATACCGTAACGGCTGCAAGGGGTAGGCTTGAATCGCTCTATACAGACGCATCTCCTTTAGGCCTCTGGTCGGCATGGGGCGGCCACAGGTTTCCATCAGGCATCGCGTGATCATGCACATGAACTTGCGAGACTTGTCATCAAAAGATGAATCTCTCAAATGTGATCAGAGATATTTCGCACTAGAACCGTCGCACGCGCTTCGCGCGCGCTCATGTTCCACTTGCCATAAGACCACGCGTATAGTGCGCCAGAGACGGCCCTTTCCGGATGATCGGGTCCTTGGCTTGGAAGCCCAAGCGTTAGTGTCTGAAGTCGCACTGCGGCTTGGCATTTGCAGCAGTCCTGGGCCATCCTTGAGCAACATTGCAACTCTCGTCGGGACCATTTGAGCCTCCCAAGCCATCTCGGAGCCACACTTTCGCAACGAATGGAAGTCCAGAGAATCAAGGAAAACACGTTGGGATTCCATTTCGTGTTTGACTGATGTGGCCAGCTCGGAAGTCCTGTGTGGGCACTCTGGCGGCCTCATGGGCCGCCCTTGGGGCCTCAGTGTGCTGCTGGTAGTTTCCTGGGGCAGCCTGGGCGCCTCTTGAAACTTCTGCACAGCTCCAAGGGCCTCCTGGGGGAGCCCGGGGAGGCCCTGGCGGCGATTCGGGGTCGAGATTTCACAGCTTGAGCCCACTGCCCCCCCCGCCCCCCCGCTACACTTTTCAGAGCGGCACCACCACCAACGCGAGGAGCTAGGGGGGTCCACCTGGCGGTGTGGTCCTCCCCTCCCCGCTCGAAACGCCCCCTATCCCCAATTCGGGGAGGCATCGTGGACCCACGCGCTGGAGGCAGCACTCCTGGTGGTGGGGGGCAGGGAGTGAAGGAGAGCAATAGAGTGAGAGAGGAGGAAGGCGGGAGTGAGAAGGGAGGAGAAGCCATGAACGAGTAGGGAGGATAGGAAAAGAGAGAGGGGGAGAAGGCAGGAGGAGGAGGAGGAGGAGAAAGAGGAGAAGAAGGAGGAGTGAGGGGAAGACAGTTTGTATCCTTATGGGCTGGAAGTGTCTTTGATTAGAGGCCTGCAAGAGGTATCGTGTAGTCTCTACGGGGGCCGCTAGAGGGGGCTCTCGTTTGCCTAATGGGGTTTCCTGGTGGCCTTTGGGGGGCCTCTTTGGAGCCTCTGGGGGTCTCTTGGGGGAAACATTATTTTATCCGTTGAGGGTAACACGTGATACTCGGAGGGGGGGGCGGCGCGGTCGTGGGGGTAACTTAACGGTCACGGCGGCCGCGGCGTGCACCCGCCAGGGTGTGTCCGCGACACCAGCACATCAATCGCCTCTGCGCGCAAAGCAGCGCCGCATGCGTACGCCAGTGCCTCCGTACATCACAGCGGCCGCGCGCACCACCTGTTTACACCATAGTGCCTGTGTACACTGCAACAGCCACGTGCGCAACAGCGCCTATGTACAGCGCAGTGCCTGCGTGCACCAAATTGCTTGTGTACACCACAGCGTCTGTGTACACCGCAGCAGCCATGTGTACCACAGCGCCTGTGCACGTCACAATGCCTCCGTGCACCACAACGATTATTGTGTGTACACCACAACGCCAAACTTGCAAGCGGGCATAGCAGTAGCTTCCGAGCACAACGTTACGCTTGTGAACACCGCAATGCGCCAGGGGCGACCGCATGGCGGAATGGCGCAAGACTCTGCCCTGAATGCCGGCAACAGTAGGAGCTGGAAGAGGACAGGCGGAGCCCTTTTTGCGGGACTCGCCACAGACCGCGGAGGCCCTCAAGACTCTTCATTCACCTCCTCCTCCTCCTCCTCCTCCTCCTCCTCCTCCTTCGTGGGACCCTTTTGGGTCCATCTGCGAGCTTCTTCGACGCTCTGGGAGCCTCCTGGCGCAGCTTGGGGGGGCCCCAGGGAGGCTCTGGGAGGCCCCTGGTGGTCTTCGGCGCGGGAGCCCCGGGGGCCAGGTTTCTGACATACGAGGGTTGTAACAATGTCGGGGGGAACGAGAAGGTGCGGGTAGCCAAGGGTAGGGCAGAGAATCAGCTTACGAAGCTGATTTTCCCAGCGCCCTCCGGCGCCGGGAGGCGTCCATGTATCGAGGAATGGGTCCGGCAGCGGGGCCGACACCAGCTGCATGCAGCAGATTTCGTAACCCCCCCTTTCCCTATCCCCCAATTTCGTTCGGCC